AAATATTAAAAATAAAATGTTAACAAGCCACAATAACATTGACAAATCATTTCTTTTATTTACTTATGTGTTCATAAGTAAGTACTTGATACGGGATGGTCACTTGGTAGGGAAAGATATAAAAGGACCATACTGAAGAAAAACGGGTTCAAAAGTTAAAGTTGCGGTACTGAAATTCGACGCAGTGCGGTCTTAGTGCGGGAATATATTCGCAGTTTTATAATCGTGCAAAAAAAAAGGTGGAAAAAAATAAAATATATATACATATATATGAGGATCATGTGCCGTTTGAGTGCGCGTGAGTAAGGAACCGTCGCATATATTGATAACCGAGGAGCTTCTGGGGGTCACTAAATACTAATAAGGAATTCGAGGTAAGTCCCCAGGCAGTAAGAGCATATTTATATTTACACCTTGCGGCATGTACATACATATATAATATGTACATATCGTACGTTTGATGATGCAACGAGGTATTGGATGATTTAGATTTTGTGAGAGAACGCAAGCAAAGTGTTATCAACTCATACAGTTGGTATAGAAAAAAACAGATGGAAAGAAACATATCTTCGGCATATTTGGGAAGTTTGGTTATGTCTTGTACTGAATATATTCTACTTATCAAGCTTATTAATTGCATAACGAAATCTCCAAAAACGTAATTTTGGGTTACATCTCTATATTATTAGGCGAGGGATATGTATATTAGTAAACCGGAAGGTATAAAAGAAAGTGAATGATATGCCTAGATACATACAAAATATTACTTAATTTCAGATCGCCTGCTGAAATACCCAGCAAAAGGAGCTCCACTTTTGAGTGCCGCTTGGACAAATACTCGCTCGCCACGTAGTCGGAGCATGAAACCTTGATGATCGGAAGCAACGGAGTCGCACACGTACACACGCACCAGCCATCATCGATACAACTACCGTGGTTAATCACAGTCGCAGCCAACACACACACCTATATATTTGCAAACAAGGGTATATATTAGAGCTCTTGTTAACAGTCGATTATCAGGTTAACCGATTATTCGAATAGTCGAGTAGTAACTTTTGCATTGACTGAAAATCGAATAGCAAGTATTCGATCGTTTCATTATCTTCGACAAGTCGTGCAATTCATTAATTGTCATTATTCGAATAGTGAAAGTTGTTTAAATAAAAATTTTGTCTCACTTCAAAACAAAAAATTTGCTTCGTCCAAAATGAGTTTACGTAAGCGTAGCGGGGCGTGGAACTTCTTTTCTAATTCCGAAGGTGGAAAAGAAGTCAAGTGTACAATATGTGGACAAAATATGGCCTGTAATAATTCGACATCGTCTTTGGCAACCCATTTGAAGGCCATTCATAAGAGGGACAAGGAGCAGGACCTGGAAATGTATGTTTATGTTAACGAACTAATAAGTGGTAATTTTCCATAGTTTATCCTCCCCAGGACCACAGATGTAGCCAACAGTGAATGTGCCGAACCAAGCCCGGCAAAAAATGTCAAGCGTAGAAGAAAAAACGAAGATGGCGAAACTATTTCAAACGAGCGCCAAGAGACCATTTCTCGTGCAATAGCACGTTTAATTGCAACAAATATGTTACCCATTTCTCTTGTTGCTACGCCTGGATTCCATGAGTTTATGAAGGTGATGGAGCCCGCATATAAGGTTCCATGCGAACAGAGCATCCATTCCCGTCTTCAATTGCTTTATAACGACGTTAAGGATCGAGTTCAAACTGAACTGTCGGATGCATCTAGTGTGGCGATCACTGTAGATGAATGGACTTCTCGAACCCAAAATGCTTACATATCAGTCGAAGCGCAATATATAAACAGCAACCATCGTTTATGTCACGTTACACTTTGCAACGAAGAGCTACCTGGTAAAATTCTATTTGGTTACACGTTTATTCGTTTACTTATATAAAAACTGCTCCATATTCATAAGTACGTACATATATATTTCCAGGTAGACCAACGGCAGAAAATATAAGTGCATCTATCGAAGTGGCTCTCACTGACTGGGGGTTAACTGAGAAAACACAAGCTATAACACACGACAGCGCAAATGTGATGAACGCAGCTGCAGCTCAACTAATAAGTGTTCCTAATAGTGTAAAATGTAGTGCACATCTTCTCCAGCTCGTCGTTAAAGATGCAATGTCTTCAGTTCCAAAATATGAAGAAATTTGCAATAAGGGACGAAATTTGGTAAGGTATTTCCACAGATCAACTGTAGCTAAAACAACACTATTCAATCGCCAAGTGCAACTGGGATTGAGGGAAAGCAGATTACTGCAATGTGTCGAAACTCGGTGGAATTCCAAGTATCGTATGTGTGAAAGTCTGCTCGACAACAGAAATGCCATCAGCTTGGTTATTGCCGACAGAAGTGAGACAAAAATAAACGAAGCTATAAAGCTTGAAATTCTGGAAACAGACTGGACCAATATGGAAAAGTTGGTCGAGGTTCTCAATCCGTTCGATGTAGCCACAAATGTGCTGTGCACTGAAAAAAACATTTCCATATCAATAATTCGTCCCCTTGTACATTACCTTATAAATAATCATATGGCTTCGTCATCGTGTGAACAGTCGAATGAGGAGATTTAAAAAAAAAAACTGCACGGACATCACTTCAGAAGAGATTTGGTATTGGTAATAATAATATCTCTGCCGCGTTAGTGTCTTCATTTTTGCACCCTAGATATAAGAATTTAATATACGAAATCGAGGGAACTAAGGCTAAAGTGGTTTCCTTTATAAGTTCTTTATTGCAAAACCATAATTTGGGTTTTTATGAGCCACAGCAGATTTCTCAACAGACTCAACTGGGCTTTTAATTTCAACGTGAAAGCAACCATAGTGATTTGCAAACTCAATTGGACTTTTATGCTGCTGAGCCTCAAATTGGGCACAACGTCAATCCGCTCCTATGGTGGACAAATCATTCTGGGATTTATCCGAAACTTTTTGAGATTGCCAAAAGATATCTTTCTATTCCACCAACGTCGGCAGAATCAGAAAGAACATTTTCAAGCGCGGGTAACATTGTTACCGCACGCAGAAGTTGCTTACTTCCGCAGAATGTACATATGTTGACATTCTTATATCAAAATAAATGTTTTATGAATACTCACTAAACTAAATCAATCGAAATTACAATATGTTAACAAGTAGATGTTGTTTTAATGTTATTCAGTTTATTTTCGCTTCATTTGATAACAGAATTACGGTGTTTTCTATTTAAACTGTCTCATTCACAAAAAACCAATTTTATATGTATGCATGTTAATAATATGTTTTCTTTTGACTGATGTATATGTATGTATGTATTTACATATAAATATATATTACAATGTATTCACTTTGAATTTTGCATATTGTTTACGTATTCATCTCCATCATAATTCATGCAGTACCACACCATTTTTGGTACTATAAATATTCAAAGCCTATCAACCGCAAAACTTATGAAATATTGAAAGAAAACAACTATTCGAATAGTCGAATCTGTCAAGTAATCGAATGAAAACAACTAGTCGATTATGAACGGTTAGTCGAAAGTGAACGGTTAATCGATTAATGGTATTCGATTATTTTTTGAAACAACTTTTTCTATTCGATTAACCGATTAATCGGTTAGTCGATTAACAAGAGCTCTAGTATATATGTATGTTAGACTGCATCACCAAAAAAAGTTGCGGTTTTTCCGCCGGGATTACAAATTTTATTATGTTTTAAGACGTCCCCCAAAATATTTTGGAAAAATATTACGATTTAAGTAAGCTGGACCGATTTGAAAATACCTCCAAAAATGAAGTTTTTATGAATAAAAATAGCTTGTTAAAGAACTTTTTGAAGAAAGTCCCCTCAGATGACAAAACAGATTAAGCTTAAAAAATCTGCATAAAAATATTTGAAAATCTTTTCAACAGAATCGTAAGAATGAGATGTTTGATGATGTTTTTTACTTCTTTCAAAGGTTGGTTTAAAAAAAACTTGAATAACTGTTTCAAAAATTATCTGATTTAGACACATCGGATCTCAGTAGAAAGGTATTTTCACATTGTTTTTATTTCTGGCCAAAAAAACGTCATTCGTGTCCAAGTTTGTTTTTTCGAATACCAACACATCTTAATTCAACTTTGAATGACGTTCATTCATCCTACCTTTCTCTGCCATCCTTTGAATGAGTTTATTAGCAAAGAAATAAAAAGGGGAGAAAATACCTTTCCAATGACACCTCCCAAGTCTAAATCGAAAGAGTTTAGGTTCAGTTATTCAAGTTCTTCCTATACCAATCTTTGAAAAAAGTTAAAAAACGGCATCAAAAATCTCATTACGATTCCGTTAAAAATTTTTTTAAATATTTTTATGCAAAAATTTTAAGTTAAACCGTTTTGTCATTTGAGGGGATTTTTTCAAAAAAAAATCTTTAAGAAACTATTTTTATTCATAAAAGCCTCAATTTTTGGAGGTATTTTCAAATCGGTCTAGCTCACTTAATAATCTTAATATTTTTCCGAAATATTTTGGTGGACGTCTTAAAATATAATAGATTTTATAATTCCAATGGAAAAATAGTACCGGTTTTTTTTTTTTTGTATGGGGAGTGATGCTGTCTAATGTATGTACATAAAATCACACATGCATCCGGGCGGATAAATATCCGCATCCATCCTGGGTTATATCCGCACCTCAACGTTAAGCCAGAGTAGTTGACACCGGCCAACAGATATTTGGCAACAACAACACCGCCGTCGCCGACAGCTGTTCCAGCTGGTCCAGCTAACACAGGCCATAATACAGACCTGTGGACTCTGCACAGCCCCATACAGAAGAG